GCTAAGGCTCAGTGCCCAGCACACAGAATACCCAAGTATATCTCAACTCACAGACCTCTGGTACGCTTGAAATGTAATCTGTCATCATAGAATTTGTATTTGTCTTGAGGAAGCACTTGCCTTGATGGCCTCCTTTCTGGTGAGTTCATAGAATTGTATAGGTTGGAAGGGACTTTAAAGATCATCTAGTTCGTTGTACCTTTGTCAAACACAACTCCGTAGTTAAATCCCTGAAGTTCACTCACAGGCCAGATCTTAGTTCTTTGTACTATGTTCCAGATAGATAGTTCAAAACACAAGTATTCACATCAGAGCTGATGTTCATTCAGCTGACACAAACATGCTGCCTGCCAGGAAAGTATACCCCTCAAAGATCATTGTTACTCAGCAAGGCAGAAGAAAGAGGGACTGCAAGCAAATGCTCTTTCATTTCTAATAGGAGACTAAGGTCCAAGATCTTATCAGGAACATTTAGGAAAGGGGTGATTTACATAAGTGGGTAATTTCTTTTCAGTAAGTACTTTGATACCAATTGCAAGGGCTCATGTGATGCTACAGAAGTTCCAGTGTGGTCGTTTACTCATGACACATTAATGGTTGCTGCCATTTAAATAAGTAAGTTCAATGATGTAGTACCTAGAATTTCATCTGGCTGAACAAGCTGCTGAAATGAATTTTGCTTACATAAACATGGGAAAAGTTTAGTGAGCTTTCATAGGTGCAAAAGAGTGAAATGTTGTCTTCACCTGTGTTAGCAGGGTCAGTTGAGAGATGCTTGTATCAAGGGGAAGATCTGAAAGACTTGAGATACAGGCTTTGCTTCTCTGTCAGAAGTGTGAAGATACTGGGTGAATTTGTGTCTTAGTCCAGCTGCAGGGAGGACTGCCTGGAATGTAATTCTGTCTGGCTTGTTTAAAGTACAGAGATAGCATTGCAACAAATAATATTTTCCCCGCTTTGAGGGGAATTTATGTTGAATATTTTCCCTCCTTGCAACCTTCAGTCAGCAAAACTCAAAATACTTGCTTCAGCTCACTGAGTAGTAAGCTGGGCACTTGTTTTTTCCTAGTTTTATTACTATAGTTGCCTCCAACCCAATCATTTTACAGACTGTTTAGATGAGGGTTAGCTCTTTTGTATCATCGATATTTTAAGACTAAGCCAGGCAATGACACATTTGAATATTAGGGCCAGGATTGTCTCAGCTTTTAGTAGGTGCAGATCAGATTGACGTGTGTGATTGCATTCAAAGATCACAGGAGCAACCCCTCCCCAGTACATGGTTAGAAGGGACCAAAATGTAGTACAGGTCTGTTACCTGACCTGTCAAGCATGGGCATGGCTGTTGTACGACCAAATACATTTGTCAGTCAGTAATGCCAACATGTTAATAACGTAGTGCAGGGAAGTGCCATCAGACGAGTTAGCCTCTGAAGGGCTCCCAGAAAAATGCAAGCCTTCCATCCTGCCGCTTTTTCACATCCAAAGTTTGACCAAGAAAAAAGATTGAAAGATCAGATTGGGGTCTGAATGAATTTTTCCTGTTGTCTGTATTTTTGTTAATGACTTTAGAATGAACAATGTCTGAATTTTAGTAATGGTATTATGAACCTGTTTTGAGATGATCTCACTGCTGTAATCTTCTAGGAGGATGTCTGTTTTTCTTGTCTTAATATCTTTTGACTTTATTGATTGAAGTAGCATAAAGCAGCAACAACATTAATGAAAGCCTTTCCTGCGTAGCTTCTTCACAGACCTGTGGTGAACTGCAAGTCCTCTAGTCTTTTGAGATAGATCTGATGCAGAACATAGAGAAACTACAAAATAGAGATAGTTGCAGTGGCTGGCTGGTTTCCTGTAGGGTGAGTGAGATGAGAGTTCAACACCTCCGAGGTGCTCGGGGGGGAAGCATCTCTTGTGAAGCTTTCACATGGTGTGTTTACTGAAGGGTAGGAAATGGAAAAGCTCGGTGTACGGGTCTGTCACTGATGTGCACAAAATAGAGAAAATAATTTCTCTGTTCATTACCCAGGCAGTACCCCTGAACTGTCACAGCTTGCATTGTTATGCTAAGGAGAAAAAAAAGTTGACATTTGAAGATAAAATGGCCCTTTTGTTTAAACAATCATACTGCTTATGTAACAGCTCTCTTAATGGTAAAGTACAGCTGGAGCCTGGAACATGTTTACAGAAATATGGGTAACATGTTTACAGAAATATGGGTAACAATGTAAAATGTAGAGAATGGTGCTGAAGGCAATAGGCATAGAGAGAGATCAGAGGTGGGGAACAGTGAAGGCATATTTTTGAAGATGTGAGTGTGCTGCCTTCCTGAAAGCCAGAGGTTTGAATTGTGCTTTTGTAAAGCAAGGGGAATGGGCTTTGTAAAGGTCATCAGAGGACTGGCCTAACGAGCTGTCACAGGAAGGGCAAATGGTGCTTCTCAAAATGAGGACAGGAGAGGGAGAGGGCCCAAGAGAGGCATCTGGCACAGCACAGGCAGTGACCACAGGGAGGATTCAAGAACTGACAAGGGTAGAGAGCACTGTGACTGCAAAGACTTATTGTGACAAGGAGAAACAGGAGGTAGAAAAGACAGAAATGATTAAGCTCTGGAACTTTTTCACACTAAGATTACTGTAATTGTATTTTCATGCATAGAAGAAAGGCTGCTGAGTAACCTTGCTCTTCTCTTTCTTGAAATGGTAACCACTGACTGATAGACACACATGCACAAACACCCACACCCATACCCACACAAACATGCAGTTACACAAAATTAGGAAAATTGCTCAGCTTTCTTCAGAGAGGTTTAAGATTTGACAAAGCGAGCTCTGACCCAAACAGTGTTAACTGAAACCGGGTGCGTGGCAGTCAACCAACGGCATCTACTCTCCAGAATGTTAATTTTCACTTATTTCCTTGAGACAATTTGTTAAGTTTTGTATATATTATTAGCAAAAAATGGAGCTATAGATTTTTAAAGTGTCATGTTTTTTATAATATGTTGAACCATTTTGTTTGATTTAGAGTGAAAAAATAGACTTATGGACTGTTTTCTGTTGTTTACAGCAAGCTCAAGGTTCATACTTAGACATTATATGAATGATGAAACAGAGTTGTAAATATTCATTACTTAGTGGAATCGTATTTTTTTAAAAGCACAGCTTTGTATACAAAGCATTTGTAAATCCCCATTAGTGGTATTTATATTCCCACATCAAAATTCCTCGTTTGCAGCCAATCAAATATCTTAGGCTTAGATCTTCGTCCTACATATAATGGAATCACAATGCTGTCACAGACATCACAGCCATTTTTGTAAAATATGATGTTAAGGAAGACTGAGTTCATTGTACTATACGTATGTAAATTCCTTCCCTTTCAATAGTCTCAGGGGAAATAAGATACCAGAAAGAATTCCCAACCAGTGTACGTATTAATTGTCACCACCTTTCATGGGATAGTAAAGTGCATTCATACAAAGAAAAGCATTAAGAATCAAGGAGGCTGCACAGGGAAAGTGAGGGCATTTAAGTGAGACTTCAGGAAGTCACATGGTAAATTATAATAATCTAACTGCAATCTTGAAAATCACACTCCTTCCTTGTTTGTGGCTGTAATGAGGTAATGATGCAGCTCGTCTGCCTTCAGACAGCCACTACGGATTTACAGTAGGCTGTGGAAGATCAGACTGCAGCACAAGTTCTTTGTTATGGGTGCACCCTTACGGTGATACCTGGGTTCAGAATAGCCAGTGGTATAATTCAAAGCCGTGAATGTGTTGTTCTTCTGTAGCTCAAACTCCTTTCAATTTCAGCAGCATAGGGGACTGGTTATCACAGAGCATAATTAATTGATTGTTGATCCTGTATGTTTATGTGTTTGTGTGTGTGAAGACATTCTGAGATCCTGAAATCTAGCTGTGAATAAGAAATGCACAGTATGACTAAATGATTGGACTGAAAGTTTTGCAAATGAATTATCTGGACAGAAACACAACTCACATGGATGCTTCTGTACAAAGAAACTCATCTGGAAACAGCTGTGTGTGCTTGAAGTAGACAACCTCTCTCTTTGATTGGCATCTGCCCAGATTTGAAACAATTAGGACTATGCAAAAATTTTAATTTCCTGAATCAAAACAGGTAATTCACCAAATTCCCAGATACATACTATAAGAAAGGGATGTAAATCAATTTCTTATGACTCCTACATAGCATGACTTGAAGGAGATCACTGTTCCCAGTTGACTTGACTTGACTTGACTTGAGGTCTGTCTGCCACCCAGGCACAGCTGTTCACAAGAGATGAAATGCTGTTTGCTTATATGATTTTCCACTGTGCAGTCTTTGGTCATTCTGTGCTGCTTCTCTTCTCTGTTGAGGCTACTAAATGAGTTGGTATTACCTTAATGAAAGCATTGAAAGTGTGGTTAATGCTGCTAGACTCCATATTTTAAAACATTCTTTGAAATCAAAGTGAATATCAGTAAAATATTCTCTTGTGGTTCCTAGCTTCCATAACCAGTACAATGATTTAGTTGGCATTCTTGTGCAGTGCTTGGATCTTTGCCAGTTAATGACCCATCACTGCAGTCTGCACAGGCAAATTACCCCTTCTGTCCAGCTCTTCAAGCTGATGGACTTTCGCCCAAGTAATGGCTGCAGGCTCCTATTCTCAGCTGGCACGGACCCCAGCATGACCATAAACATCCCTGAGAGGATCATAATGTGATATATTGGACAGATTCTGATACGACTCTTGGTAATATACCACCGAGCAATTCTGCTGAAGTCTGTGACTTTGGCAGTGGCATAGCTGAAAGAAGAAACTGGTCCCTACGCTCTTGCTTTCTCAAGTAATGAAGCACTTGCAAATATTAGCTAGTCTGTGTCCCTTTAGATGGTGCAACTTTTGTGAACCCTTTGTCAAACATTCAAAATAGTTTTTATTTTTGTTCTGTTTTTAAATGGTTGCATTGTCTCTTCCCCCTACAGGATTTTCCATTCTTCAGGCGATTATGGAAGCAGCAGTCCAGAACAACTGGCAAGTGACAGCCAGATCTGTAGGAAACATAAAGGATGTTCAAGAGTTCAGAAGAATTATAGAGGAGATGGACAGACGGCAAGAAAAAAGATACTTAATTGACTGTGAAGTAGACAGAATCAACACCATTTTGGAACAGGTATATGCTTTTCAGAAATTGTGATCTCTCTGTGACAAACATCGTTAATGTTTCCAGAACTATCTATTTCTAGAAATCAACTAAATATCCATTGAGATATGAGTCCCAGCAACTGGCCAGTTACCTAGTAAAATTAAAAAGCCTCAATGATGCTCATAGTTGGCGGCAGCACTTACATGTACCCTACGAGGAAATGTGTCTCTGATATTTTTTCCCAAATGTTAATAATGAATTATTTTTAAGTAGGTTAAGAACCTAAAACCTCAGCTGCCAGAGTAACATTACTGGCATCAGGGCTACTTGTAGGGATTGCAAGACAGGTAGAGTTTGTTAAGTGGAACATGAAACAAGAAATAAAAAGCCAGAGAAGTAGTTTTGAATCATGCTAAACAATTCCCAAATGGAAATATTGCTAGTGAAAAGTTGAGGTGATAGTCCGAACAGCTCATTACCGCTTTTTGCTACATAAAGCCCTTCTCTGCTGATGCAGCTGACAGGCTTAGGTTGTGGGTGATAGAGTCTAAACACCTTTAAGGGGGAAGCTGCACTTTTGGGTGACTGTTTTGCTATTGCGTGGTTTTCCCAGTGTTTGCTTTGTCTCAGAGGAATGGCCATACCCCCTGGCCAGCCCAGAATGCCTGCGCCACTGTCTGTGCTGTGCAACATGCTTGAAGAGGTGTAGTAACAGATAGACAGTGCAGGGAGCAGAAGCAGGACAGGTCCCTGCTGCCTGGGCTCACAGCAAAGCTGATGTTGGTGTGGAACCAAATCCATGCTGTTTGTTCATTTATAGGCGTGTGGGAATTCACTGATGTTAATACTAGAAAACTTCCTGATTATTGCCACTTCATAATTTAACTGTGAGTTTGTAGTATGGGATATATCAAAAAGAACATTTGAATTTCATGAAGCATTAGCATGTCTCTTAGAAATGTTGTATTGTAAACAAGTAGCATACTGACCTCACTGCCATAAACCCTGGGAAATGCAAAAGCTGTATTCCCTGAGTTCCTGTCAAGCCTTGAGGTGTATCACTGAGGACCTGTCTGTGGGGACTGAATCGCTGTAGTCACAGCTAGGTCCCATAGCTGCTGGTTACGAGGGCAGTAGGAAGGAAAGAGGTGCTCAAGGGAACATAGTGCAAGCCGGTGCTGGTCTGTAACTGACAGTTGGTATGGTTGTGATACTGGTACATAGCATTGTTTTACACTGTTTAGTCAGTATGGTGAGTGCTCTCTTTAGGGAAATTCATATAGCAAAGTGTAAAGAACTTTTTTTTTTTTTCCCCTCTCCTTGCATTTGCTCATGGTCTTGCAGAATGTACAAAACAACATACTCACAGTTCACTCTTTTGAATATGATGCAGGAGACCTCTCCTGAGCCAAGCTTAAATAGCTCTTTGGGCTCACTCTCAGCTAAGGAACAGGCCTTTTGTTTCATCTTTCTAACTCCATTTATATTTTGATCTCTCCTTTTCTTATATTGTGCAAGGGAGGTAAAAAAAGAAAATAATCAAACCATTCCAGTGCCTAAAATGAAAGCTACATACTAAGCAAACAATATAGCAAAAAATTGACCAACACTTTTCTTCTGCAAGCATTCTAAATTCAAACCTAGTGAAGTTATAGTTTTATTAATGTATTAAATGTTTGATTCAGATTTCTATCCATGTGATTGCAACTGTGTAACCAAGGATTTGTTATTGGGGCCTCTAGACTTCCCCAGACTCCACAGTACACTGTACAGTACTGACACTTTGACATAATTAGAGCCTTTCTATTGTCATTATTGTATTGCATATAGCCCATCTCTCTTCTGTTAAATGATTTGTTTTCTGTATTATGCTCACTCTCTATCTTTTGAACTTTATTTACACAAAATTGTGACACTTCCATGAAATCGTTATCCTAAATTATCTCACATATTTCTAAAAGGTCTTTCAATTTTCTTGCAGTTGGATTTTAGGACTGTATCAACCAGTTTTAACCAATCAGTTGAACACTATCAGTCCATTGTTTTGCAACCAAATCCTACAGACATTTTCACACATAAATACTGTGTCGTATGTGTCATCCCATTGATGTAATATGACTTAATTTCATTGAAGATACTAATGAGAAAAGTTGTTTGAATTTGCAGTGTCAAAAATGGATTTAGAACTTTTTGTTTAGGAAGCCAAGACAGATAGTAAAGCAAATTAAACATACCTTCTGAGGTAAATACTCCAGTATTAATTATGTCTTTTTACGAGTCTAACAAGAGGAGTCTGGTTATGCAGCACATTTTTATGAGTATTGTCACATTTATTTTACTGACACCAGTCACTTGACAAGGAATTGCCCAAGCAGATCTCAGAATGGTGCCTCTGATGCTAAAAATACCTTCTGGCAACAATATCCAGAGGGTTTTTTTATCTGATACTGAGAAGCAATGACTTAGGTTTCTGCAGGGAAATTCAGTAATGGTGGACCCCAGGTTGATAGCTGAACAATTATTGGTTTTAGGCTTTTCCTTCCATCTCCTCTACCTACCTTGTTATCTTCTCATAAAGTAGTTAAAAAATCTCACAAATATGTGTGGTACTTAAACCCATCCAGGCAGTTTGCTCAAGGGAACGGTGAGTTGTCTTCTTTATAGCCAACTGTGTTTGCTGATAGCATACCATTGAGGGCAAAGATAACTCTGGATTTGCATATTTCAAATCTAGCATCTTATTGCAGTTTAGAAAGTCAAAGCGGTGCTTTGTGTGGAGTCTATAAAGTCTGCTCAGCTAAGAGGCCGTAACGTCTGAGCAGGTTTACAGCATGCTGACTGCACAACTGCAGGTGGCTTTGAAGAGCTTTTTTCCAGTGAGAGCAAAGGGAGACCAAGACTCTCAACCTGTTATGGCAGAGCACTGATGGACAAACTCTGTTTCACGGAGGGTTGATATAGGCTGCCCCAACCCAGCTGCCTTTCCATCTCTCTCCCCTTTTGGCCTCCTCAGGCCAGAAGGTCAACCCTCCCATCACCTTCTGGGGGTGATGCCTCCCTCCAGAGAGGGGATTTACTGTGGTCACTGTGGAGATGTGTGGCACCTGCCATTTCACTTTCTCAACAACAGGAGCATTTGCCCATGACCCTGGATTTCAGAAGCTTAAATAGGGACTTATTCAAAAGACAAAAATCATAGCAGAAATAAACAGACTGTAAACCACTAAACAGTCTGCACACGTGCTGAGTTTGCTATCAGACTTTTGGGCTCTTGGCCAGGCCATTTGGCAAGCTTGTCAGTTCTCTGCTCCAGAAACCGCATATCATGGCTTCGTGTTAGTGCTTGGATTAAATAAGAGTGACCTCTTCTCCTGTGTCAGGCTGGTCAGTGTGTGCAGTTCTCTTCCTTTGATGCTTTTTTCAACCAGTTCAAACCAGGATATACCTCTCTTCCAAAAGCATAGGCTTATCTAGAGGCAATTACACATCTGAGGGTTCTCTTCAGAGACTTCAGGTCCTGCTGGAATATTCTATACTTTCCTTCAATGACGTCCATTCATGTGAGTCAGTGACCTTGAGTATTCCATATGCCTTTAGCATCTGGCACAATCTGTATGTCTCTTTCCAATATCTGAAACCTATAATGTGAAATATTTCTCTGCTCAGGACTGGCTGGTACCCAGGAAAGGATCTCTCTCAGCTGTCTTCCCCTTGTATGTAAATGTAAGTTAGAGGAAAGAAGACACCTCAGCTCCTACTCTGCAGCACATCTGGTTTCATTCCCCTTTCAGACAATCTTGTGATGGGCCCCATATTGTGTCCTGGAGGTGGATAACCTGCCCAAATCACCTCTGGCCCTGTCTCTTTAGCTGCAGAATAAGGGAAAGCAGAGAGATTAATAGTAGTTCTGTAAGTTATCATCTGTTTGTTCACTTGCCCTATAGTTCTATAACCATTGACTATGTGGATCCATATCCCTGCTTCAACAACTAAACTATATCCAATTTAATCATCTAGTGGCCTTTCAAGCATACAGATAGCAACACTTATGTCATGCAAAATTCATAAGCTCCTCACACTTCTTGTCCCTCGATGCTAAAAAATTCCAGTATTCCTTCACAGACAGATATAAAATTTTATTCTCATAAACAGAAGAACATTTTCTTCTGAGAACTAACAGTAAACTTTACCCTGTTCAGCCATGTATTGAGAGACATGTTTTTGAGTTAAGAAATATGTTTTTCTTATTCCCAAGATAACAAGCTGTATTTCAGACTAGAGTGGCTTTGTGTCCACTTAGAAGAGAATCTCCTGAGGGAAAATAAGGAGGAAGAAACTCCATTTAGGATCGGAATGGTGAAACTTTACAAAAGACCTGTTTATTCCACAGACTGCATGCTTTTATCAAAAGGACACTATCTCCAAACATAGTCATAAAGGTTAGGCTCCAAGGCAATCTCTGTATTGAGTGGAGGCAACTCGCAAAGCAGAAGCAATATTACAGTAGAGAATGCAGTCCCCCAAATTTTACAATGACAGTCAAACTGTCAAAGAAGACTTAAAGTAAAGCATCTGTAGGATTAAGAAGGATAATCTGATTGACTGAACTCTGTCCAGTGCAAGCACTATGATTTGACATTCGAGTATGAAATTTGGTGATTAGGAAGATGGTCTGCAGGTTTTCAGTACTGCTGCAGCTGCATCCCTCTGAAGACCTGTTTGGATCTCAGAGGAGAGTGCACTGCACAACAGCTTTCACATTTGGAGTGTCATAAGAATAAAAACAAAACTGCAGTATTCAACTGACAATAGTCATTAAAAACAACAACAATAAGGAAAAATATAAGTGGAAAACATCAATGCCACTTCCATGTAAACTTCCTGATTTATGTGTTACATTATAAACAGTCTGGGTTTGCCTGTATTCTCTGTAGCAATTAAAAATATAATAACTGCCTACAAACACAGTGGGATGCTTGAAGGAGGAGCAGAGCTATGGGTAGCTTCAGCTTCTGCTTTGCTTATGA